ATAAAAGTAAGAAAAGTAAGATTTCTCTTACTTTTCATGTGACCAGTTACTCGGGTAGGCGACGGGACCTAATTTCGCCGATCGGTCATGTGTGACATATGACTGATTTCGGGGTTCACACTATCCGGGTGAGTTTTTTTAAAAATATATAAAAAATTTTATATGGATTTTATATATATAATTTTTTGAAACTAAAGCCGGGTTGCCGGGTCACTTTTAAAAATTATATGTTATGAGAACCAGTTCATTAAGTTTGTATGACCTTATTGTTTAAATAATTTTTGATACTCATTTTTCGTATGCAAAAAACTTTCTTAGTTCTTATATAATCTTTGATATTAATTTCATTATCATGAAACAAAAATGAAAGTAGTTTATTATAATAATCATGTTTGCTAAAATTTATTATATAAAAATAAGTGGTTTACTGCAGCTTACATTATCTTTAAAATTTAAAGATTTTATATTTTCTCATTTAAAAACTCTCTTAAAACAGCTATAACATAATATCAATAATACAATAATATCTAGAATAAAAAAAAGCTGCAAAGAATATAAACAAATTTACTTTGATCGTTCGTATCAATATATTTTACGTATATACTTAGCGTTAGATCATGTAATTTTGTTAAGCTTTAGTTATAAAAGGAGTTAATCCAATATATATGATCTTCATACTGCATAGATTACATTCTTGATATTTTATATAACCCACTAACTAACTACATCAAAAAGATATCTCTAAACTCCGCTTTAGACAACTACTATAAAAGGCTAACTATTGTTACACAAAGATTACAAACTTCGAACAAGGTACCCCTCAGAAAATATACTTAGAGAAAATTAACAGATACTTTACACAAATAATTCACGAGATATATAATATGAAATTACTGAAGTTCAGGAAATTCCGACCAAGCATTGTTCCAAATTTCTGGCAAACCCATATCATTGATGGAATCAGATGATTTATTTATTGAAGAAATAGAATTTTCAGAATTTAAACGGGATTTCCGACTATCGTAATATTTTCGATTAATTCTGCGCCTAGCCAAGTAATTGTGATTGCCACATTCAGAACATTTTCTAGTATGAGGTGGACATTTAATTTTACAACCTTCGCTCTTACAAGTGTAAAGCGAAACACGACGACCGCTACATTGGTTACAAAAACATTCTGCAAAGGAACCGTAGTCATGAAAAGCTCCATAAGGACCTACGGAAATAATAGGAATCTCATGATTACCGACAGAAAAAGAGTTCTGTAAATTTTCGGGATTAAATTTATCGGAAATTTTTATTGGTCTTTTGATGCCCATAATTAGGAATTTTAGGAAAATCAAGGGAAATTTTAGCAGAAAGAGTTTATGACTATCACTTTAAATTATTTAATTTGGGTAATTAAATAATGTTTATATAGATTGTTTTTATATTATTAATGTAAGAGTTTATTTACTTAATAATAAATAACAATAAAGTAAAAAGAAATCTATATCTATCCAATCTGCTTCATTTGATTCCGGACAGATTCTGGCGAATGGAACACAGCAGGCATACGTACGTACGTACGGAATTTACCACTTTAGCAGGTGACAGGTAGTTAGTAAAACAGTACTGTACGATTGTACAAATATGTACGGGCGTACGAAAATTGAGCAAAATTTTGATAGTACGTACGGTTAACATAGGGTTGTAAATTAATTTTTATAAGCCTATTATCCATTTGGCACAAGGATGTGTCGAATCATCGGGCGTGGCTAATAAGCATTATTTAATATAATTATTTAGCTAATGCTTATTCGTCACATGATAGTTCGTCACATCCTCATGCCAAATGAAAGAGGAGACATAGTCTTTACAAGTAACCCTTTTTTTAATGTTTAGGGTTAGTGCAAGTGCGAGCATTGTTCTTTTTTCGTGTGAGATTATAGGAAAATTAGCTTTGTTTTGAAAGACTTTTTCTTTTACAAACTACTATCATGATTTCTACATATCCGTCTCAATTTGCGTACTAATTTACTATATACCCGGTAGAAACCACTTAAGATTTTGCATAGAAAGTACATGTATAACAAACAAATTGCATATTGTTAGAATCACAAAATGCGAGTACTTACGTAGAGACTTTAGCTGGAAATGCGGATGGACACGTTTAAGTAAAATATTGTGCAGCAAATTTTAAAAAAATAATTTACAAATGCAATGAGAATAAAAGAAAATCAAGTGCAAAAATGATTTAGAGATTGAAAGCCTGAATGAAAAACGAACGTATTTTACGAATATTACCGCTTCTATAAAAGGCCCTTACTGCTTAATCAGTTCCAAGAAGAATTAATCACAAAAAACAACTAAGACCGACTGTGACGTAGGCACAGGAGGGATATTATCGCGAGGATCACCTGACATGTTGGACCTAATGATGCCGA